GATGAATTATTTCTTGTCTACTTCTGTCCTTCCTAATTCCTACTTATCCTTCAACTCTGCTGTCACACTGTTTGGGAAGAGGCCCTTAAGGACCAACTAGGTTTAGGCTTTCTAGGAAAGCATTCCATTTGACCTTGACCTTCCACTTTGATAACAATTCTTGTTCAAGGCCTATCTATATGTAAGTTCTATGATGGCAAGGCATTAATCTGCTATGTATACTACCATATGCCAGTACCCAGGAAAGCCCTGGCATGGAGAAAAAGCTCATTTCTGTTTTAATTTTCAAATGAGTGAAGAATAAAGTTTAAAAAGTTGCAAGTTGACAATAACCAGGTATAGGTTATAAATACTTTGTTAGTATAACTCTACAATGCCATGGGTAGAGAGAGGTATACCAAGTTTTATTTTATACATGAGTAATACTATTTAATTAATATTCAAAACTTGCCTGATTGTATATTAGCAGATTATTAAAAAGCATTAAATTACCTTCTCTAAGAATTTTGAAAGATCTTGTTTGCTTAATTAGTGCTAAAACATTAAGTATGCATGTCCAGTTTTCTTCTTAAAATGTTTTCCACAGTGTGGACTCTGAGGAATCACCATGAGGTTTTTTAAATGACATTTCTGTGCTGGAAAGTATATTTTCTTTTGGTATCGGGGATTGAACTTGGGTCCTTGCACTTGTGAGACAGGCAGTGGAACCACTGAGTTAAATCCTGGCCCTGGTAAATGTATTTTCTTTCTCACTACCTCTCTTGCAATTTTCATCAAGAAAAAAATCTGACAATTTCTTTCTCAAATAAAAATTGACTTTACCTTCTTTTGCCAATAACCACATCCCTCTTCAGCGGGAGGGTTGTTCAACTATGCACACTGGAAAATGCCATTAGAAAACCTGAGTGTGGCCTCACACTCAGGTTTTTGGTGAATTTTGGTGTTTGTGAAGGTGACATCCACAGTCACTTTTCAGATCAAAGTGTGGGGACTGTAGGCAGAACCACGAGTGTGAGGTTGTGATGGCTGGGAGAAATCTGATTTACTGACTTGCTTCAGTGGAAAAATTTATTTTGAAACTCTAAATGAATCATTACAGACTTCATCAGCAAAAGAGTGCTTTGAAAAGTCTGTCCAAAACCATGCAAAAATAAGCAAAGCAAGATTCTTGGAAGCATTCTAGGGAATAAGCAATGTGCCCACACCTCCTCAAGAATGTTTCTTCCTAATGGTCATGCTGCCCTGACTGAAGTGAACAGTACTGATGGGGCTCACAGATGGCAGAGAGAACTGTGGAGTAAAACACATTGTCTTTGTGACATAATCCACAAAAGATCATTCTTATGTTTAATTCCTAGAGACCTCCTCTAGAGACCTCAGCCCTGATGGAACAGAACTTCTTTAAAACTGTGGGTGTGGACAGGTGGCTGTGGCTTCAGGCAGCACTTAGAGGTCAGAGAGGCCTCAATGTATTCTCCCGTTAGACTGGGGTTACTCTGCTTTAAAAAGTGCCTTCATTTGCCCCAAACCAGGTTCATAGTCCTGTGACTCTTCGGGTTAGAGTGGATACATTTTCTAAATGGCAATGAAGAGTGTAAGTGGGAAGGGTAGAGGAAAGGAAATGAGGGAAAAGAAAAATATGTGAAAAAAGGAAGAAATGGAAACAAAGTCTTTGTAAATAGGGAAGGGTGAAGGGGGTGAAGGGACAGCAGGGGCATGGGAAAAAAATAAGAACCAAGATATATCATGTCAAAGTACAAGATATCAATGATAAATGTAACTGTATTGTTCGCTTTAAATGTACCAATAAATGTAATGGGGGAAAAAAGTGTAATAAGAGCTCACTTGTATCGAGGGCAGTAAATCAGCACACATAAACAAGCAATCCAATCAGTTGACATATCTCCAGCTTCTCAATCTTGAGATCTTTCTTCACTTCCACATCTGACTCCCCATTAAGCCCCCACCAAAAGAGCTCAACAGTTCATGCTCTTGCCAAATCTTGTGTGTTTGTCTACAGTGCAGTCTTACAGTCTGCACAGAGAATGCCCTCCACCACCCTGCACACTCCAATAATGCTCACATCTCCAGCCCTTTACTGAGAAAAGTCCCCCAGGGGTTAGCGCTCTGACCTCCCCCATTCTTTGTCCCTTTCCAGCCACTGTCCCTCCCCTTCCTGGACCCTTTATGCTACAGCTATCTCTTCACCCCCCCCACAGGGGACAATGACAATGTGTACAAATGTGTTTTGATTTATAGTTGCCACAAAGATAGGGAAAGGAGGGTGGTTTAGTCCATTTGGTTTGCTATGGAAAAATACCACAGACTGGTGCCTTATAACTGACCAGAACCTGTGAAGTCCAAACTCAAGGTGCTGGCACATTTCGTATATGGTGAGAGCCTGTTCCTTACAGAGGGCGCCTTCTCAGTGTGTTCTCACATAGCGAAAGGAACAAATGAGCTATCTGGAGTCCTTTTAGAAGAAAAAGGCTGCCCTCTCATGACTTAATCATTTCCCAAGGACCCCATCTCATAGTACCATCATTTTGAGGGTTAAGATTCAATACGAGAATTGGGGGTAGACACAGTCACTCAGTCCATTTCTCCATTTTGTTTGGACATTTGAATCCTACTTAGACCTCACAGGTAAATCTAAATGCCATCTCCTCTAAGAAACTATTAATGATCTCCAGTGAAAGGCATCTCCCAACCATTAGATATCCAATAATATTTTATTTGTATTTCACATGCAAGTTATATTCTACCTCATACTAGAGTTAAATGTGCAACTCTAACCTTCCTTACCAGATGACACACTTAGAAGGTAAGGCTTGCACTGACATAACTTCTTGTCATCTGCTTGGAATCCATAGTAGACTGATTACACATACATGTTACATGAAAAAGTGTCAATGGGCAATAATACAATTATTTTTGGCTTTACACTGATTGAGAGAATTTAGAAATTAATTCTAAAATATTCATCCAATTTGTTAGAGAAAGTCAACTAATGAACCAAAAAAAAAAAAAAAAAGGCTTTCTATGGCAATATACCACTTTAACTTAGAGCTTTTACTTCACAGGTTGTTTGCAACACAATTAAAAGAAAGACTATGTGATGAAAAGGTGACTCAATGAAATGAAATAATGGCACTGATAGTTTCGGTGACAACAATTAAGACAACAACAAAAGATCCACCAGGGGCCGGGGATTTAGCTCAGTGGTTCCACTGCCTGCCTTGCAAGCACAAGGTTCCACAAGTTTGATCCCCAGTACAAAAAAAAAAAAAAAAAAAAATCCATCATTCTATTATCTTGTTGCTGAACAGACTTAAGATTCAGAAGGAAAAAAGGTAGGGGAGGCAGAACCTAGTTCAAAATTCAGTTGGTAATATCTATTAGGCACATTAGCAACAGGTGGGAATCTAAAGCCTTTTAAACAAAGACCACAGTAGCTGAATGAATGGGTTTACATAATGGAATCTAGGTACACTGTAGAAATTCTGCCATGAACTACAAGCTATACGCTCAAACACATGATCCTAATGTCACGATTAGGGAGCCACCAAATCCACCTGGAGAGGCTACATTAGGTCCTTTTAAATCAGGCAAGTAAATGATCCTCTTGTAAAACATATTAAAGTCTGAAGGCAAACACTTGTAAGTTTAAAAGACAGTCATACCTTAGGAAAGAAGGACAACAGCTCCAAATATAGTTACTGTGGCCAGTCCACACAAAAACTCAGTCTCCTCCTATGTTCAAAACCCTGGGCTTAGGTTTCAAAGTACAATTGCTAACGTTGTACTTTTACTCAAACACAGAGCTCCATCTCTAGTCCATCCTGTCATGATCATGACTACTTCTACATGTCACAGCTTCATGAACAAAAAACCACACTCAGTGCTCTTCTCTTAGAATTGCAAACCTTTACTTATAAAACCATTTTAAACAAATGAACCCCACCATGAGCTAAGATGAAACACATAAAAGCCTTTAAGTTATAAGAGCATGAATTCACTAGACTGTCCTTTTGGAGGGTGCATCTAGAAGCAGAAACTTTCATTTTGTGGTCTAAAGACTTCAGGACCTTTAAAAGAAAAGGGGCCCTGATGAAACTGAAAGAATAGGTCAGCAAGCACAATAACATGTATGTGCGTATCTTTCCAGCCATTGTTCTATAGGTTAATGAATATCAGCGGAGGATAAATCATTTCTGTGTGAAGCATAGAAACACTGATACAAAAACAAAGATGCTTGGAAACTTCACACTCTTTGACCAATCAGAGGCCTTGTCTAGTTATTTGAAGTAATTTTTCCCAGGGGTAGTATTACTATTTGGCAGGAATGAAAGCATAGCATTCTCAAAACACATTTTCACTTTTTTTTGAAACTCAAGATATTTTCCTTGATGTAGTGGTTATGTTTTTGGATGTATTAAGAAGTGTGAGCAACCAGAGGTTGTCGCATTCTCACTCATCTTCACAAACCTTTTGGAAAAGGACTAAAGACAAACCTAGAGAAGTAGTCCTCAAACAAATTATACCTTCAAAAGGTATATGTGAAGGAAAGGAGACTCTTAGAAAACAAGTAATGAGATTAAACTTACAACATTATGTGATTCTGCATATAGGTATGAGAGACTTGGACAATAAAAACTCAAATGACTACAAAGACTTTCAAACTCAAGGGCAAGAAGCATCTGTGTTTCTTGATAGTATAGCACTCTTCTTAACATCATTGACTCAAATAGTTATTATAAACTATGTTTAGAATTCCTATTATTTAAACCATCTAGTCAATCCAAAAGAAAATAGGTTATTGATGTCAGAGCTGATCCTGAGGCCAGCTCTCACTTGGTTTTAGGCACATTTTTTTTTTCTTCTAAAATGTATTCTTATGCCTCTCATTGTGGCAAACTGGGGGAAAAAAATTGTGAATATCCTGGCACCAAAGGGACTGCAAAGCTACTTGCTGACAGTTGAAATCATGAAGTCGTTACCATGTTCCAGTGCTTTCATGGGAAACCAGAAGAGGATGAGGGAGTGGACCAAGGCATTGATGCAGTGACCCCAGAAAACCTGCAGGAAAACAAACCAAGGGAGTCAGCACTGCCAGAACTCTTGACCTCTGTGTGTAACTCACAACAAATCCTGTATTGTGTAGGCTCCTGGCAGAGGCTACACAGTTCCATGAGACACATGTTAGTTTCAAATTTTAAAAAGTCCCTAGAAACACCCATTTCCTCTTTTTTACATACAGATGATTGGACTCTCTCCAGATAATACTTTACTACATAGACCTAAATATATATCCACCCATATGTAGATCAACACTTAATCCATTCAAATCTGAAAAGTGAGCTACAATCAGTTCTCTGTAGCGTCACAGGAGAGACTACACTTTACAGTCATCCAGAAGAAGAGAATTAGGTCAAAATATTAACAAGAGGCTAAAATTGTGTTCTTTTTGGAAGTATTAAAAACTATTTTACATGTCAGTTCTCTTAAGGCATTCTTACTCTCTTACTCCTTAAAAATCTTTCCAATTCATTTTTTTTCTTTCATGGTTGAGTTTTTTTTTATTAATACACCTACATTTTAAAACTCATTTATTTAAAAGAATGTAAAGCTTAATTTACTCTAGACTATATTTTTATTAATGCATTTCAAGCATTTGTTCTTTTCCTTTGTGTGGAGCTGAAGATTGAACTCAGGGCCTCTCATACACTAATCGTGGGCTCTACCCCATGGGCTAGCTGGGCTAGACCCCAGCTCTTCTAATCATCTTCAGAAGTACTGACATGACAGAACTATTCCATTCAGATTAAATTTATTTAATCTGGAAACTGTCACATGGTCCTAACTAGAGGCAGAACAACAGAAAATACTGAAAGACAGTATTAGAAGACAATGTGATCTTTTTTCCATTTTATTTATTTATTTATTTATTTTTTGGTACTAGGGATTGAACTCAGGTCTTTGCACTTGCAAGGAAGGACACCGAACTGCTGAGCTAAATCCCCGGCCCCTTTTTTCCATTTTAAATGTTCATTTTAACTTTATTCTTTTCCTGATCTCCCTGATCTCTCTGTCAAAAACAAACTAAAGAAGCAAAATAATAATAATAATAATAAACAAATAAAAGTATTTTGTTTTTTTACAAACAAGAATTTTCATGGTGCCCACAACTAAATGTCAAGGCATAGTCAAGTTCCAGGAATTTTTGTAGAGCTCTGGAAACCTGACACAGATCTATTCCTACTTACTTCCTACCTCTGTTTAAACCACCTAACTTCTACACAGAATTGTGGCCAACCTCCCTCTTCTTCAAGTGGACTACACATCTTGGCTTTGTGCAACCAGCACTCCACTACTCTGCAACTCTTGGTGTGACTACAGGCTGTGCGACAGGTCCTCCTTGACAACTGCGACCGTTCCTTTCCTCTCACATCGAACCAAACTCTTGCTTGGTTCTTATAATTTCCTACAGAGGATGAACATCCATTATCCAAATATTCCAAATCCAAACTGCTCCAAAATCTGAAAGCTTTTGAACAATGATGTAATCCCACTAGTGGAAATTTCCACACCATGAAACTTTGTTTCAGGTACAAATTATTAAAAGTACTGTATAAAATTACCCAAGGCATGTGTATATGAAACATAAATAAATTTTGTATTTAGAGTTACATCCTGTTCCCAAAATATCTTATTGTGTATATGCAAATATTCCAACCCCCCAGAAAACTCTGAACTCTGAAACACTTCTGGTCCCAAGCATTTCAGATATGGGATGCTCAACCTGTACCTAAATAGATATTTCTTCTGGTTCTTCATTCTGGAAAAAATCAAAATCAAATCAAAATAAAACACCCATAGGTGATGTTATGCCTGTGTTTATATCTAGTCAATCTTACTGCATAGCTTAAAAACATTTTCTTTAAAATGAAAAGCTCAGCAACAGTTGGGCAAGCTTCTGACTAGCCTCCTCTCAGGGCTGTACAGAAGTATGAGGCTAAACCTAAATCCATGGGGGCTGCCACCACACTCAGGGAGTCAGCAAGTTGGGTCTTGAGTCAGCAAGGCTCTTACAATACAGATCTACTTCAGAAAGGCATTTCTAATGCACAGGGCTCTCGAGAGCCATGTGGCAGGCTCACTGCTTCTCCAGTGTTCTCTCTCAAGCATCCAGAATCTCACAGGCAGGAGACAGGATGGGAGCCGAGTCCAGGAGGCAGGGCTGCCCTTTCAGTGTAATCGCGCCCTGTTTACCTTTGTGTTGAAGCCTTCAGCATTCTGGGTGATTTTGTAGAGCTGTGGAAACCTGAGCATGCTCTCCTGAGTGCATGACCGCTCAAAGATTCCAAGAGTGAAGGGTGGCAATGCAGTGAAAATCTGTGTGGAGACAAAGAGCCATTAAGAGCAGCCTTTCCGATTTACACAGCATCCGTGTTTCAGCTCTCTGCAACGATGACTTAACTTACAGTCAAGTCCAAACCTGAGGCTTCGTGATTCATAACTCCCCTGACACCCTCCAAACAAAGAAAATAGATGAAAGACTGTTTTATTACTGTTCATATTTGTAGAATGAATACACTGAGCCCTAAAAACATAAATATTTGATGAGCCCAGAAATTTTGTTAAATAACAACTACCTTCCTTTGTAGAGTGCAAGTGATGAGGAATCACACACAGTTAGCTCTGGGAAGTGTTGGATTTTCTGTTAGTGTGGGCTGAGGCACAATTTTACAACTTCCCATCCTGTTTTATCCTCACATTTCAGGAAGCACAAGGTTCCTCATCCATTTATTCATTCAAGAGACATTTATTGTGAATGAGTTATGGGACAGTTATTGTGGCAAGCTCTAGGAATACAGAGATTTAAAAACAGAACAAAAAAGGAGAGGAAGCAGGCCTCTGAATTCCAGAACTCTGTCTACTGCAGAACCAGGGGAAGGGGATGGAGCACAACAGATATATAGATAAACATATAAAAACACAGTGATTTGCACAATCACTCATGTCCTGGGGGTAGGGAAAGGAAGAGCCGAGAAATGAATCTTGCATCAATGAGTATGTGATCTGCACAGTACTCAACCTGTAGGATTGCACAGGATGTAAAGGGATTTGTCAGGATGAAGGGTACCCTGGGAAGCTTTCTTTGAGAAAAGTACTCCTTACAGGGCTTGAAGGCATCTATCAGTACATTGGGGGGGGGCTATAAAACACACAGGTCAGTGGCCAGTGGAGGTGTAAGCTAAGGAGGGGAGGGAGAACAAACAACTCCTGGCACTTGGAGTTCTTGGGCAGATGGTGCCTTCTAAAATGGACTTTTACCTTTACTCAATGGGAGTGTGATACCCACACATATGTGTATTGGAAAAGTGGAGCCAAATGCTGAAGAAGAGGTTTGAAAGATTTTAGTCTGGGATATGCTGTGGTGCCCCAGGGTCATTCTTCTAGTTGGTTTTGGCATGGTTCACAGAGGATGGGTCACACTGCTTAGCATCTGTCCCAGTTGAGTCCCTACCCACAAAACCAGGAAGCTCTCTAGCCTGTGGAACCAGATGTGCATCTCTGAAAGAATACTGAAGCCCAGTTATTTGGAGGGTAACTATCTGGCCAGAGAAATGAGGCCTCCACAAACCTGTTTGAATCAAGCAATGGGAGGTGTAAGGACAAACTCTCATGCTCTTCCTCCAGCTGAGAGCAGATAGCAGCACTGGGATTTCAATGTGTCACAGACTTCAGGAAGAAGAACCAGAATTGCTGTTTTTTCCAAATAGGTAGTACAAAACTGTGTCTATGCAATACATAACTTATTTTGAAAGGAAATATTCTTTTGCACTTTTAGGTGCCCACTGCTAGAGTAAAAAAAATAAATAAATAAAATAAAGCTACTGATTGCTAGAATAGAAAAAAAGCTATTGATTTTTGTGTATCTATCATTTATCTAGTCACTTTATCAAATCTGCTTATAATTCTTGTATTTCTCTTTTGAGTTTTCTAGACAAACAGTTGTATACAGATACATTTACATGACCATATGTTTGTATGCACATTTGTACAAGCATAGAAAGTTACCATTATTTTTCTAATATTAGATGTTATTTAATCTTTTTGGCACAGTCTGTAAATTCCAGAATAATGTTGAATTACACTTTGCTGGCAGGCTAACTGACTTGCTATCACTTGACTGGTTTCTTACATAGAATGGGGTAGTTTTAGGATTTTGAAATTTATGGCAACATGCTACCAATTTTTAAAAATTGTCTAAATATATTTAATTGGTTTCTATTTCTATCTTTTAAAAAGTTTTTATTTTGGGAATGGTAGCTGAATTGATTCAAATATTTTTTGGCCAGTTTTATTTATTTTGCCCCATATTTTTATTAGCACATATTGGTTATACAGACTAGTGGTTTTCGTTTTGGCAGATTTGTACATGCACGCAACATACTATAATCACCTCCTTCCCCTTTCCCCCCTAGTTTCACATTTTGTTTTAGGGAAGACTCAATGTGTATACCATATTCTAATCATATTGTGTGCCCTCTTGCCCACTCTTATACTTCCTCTGCTGATAGGACCATTTTTTTCTTCATTTTGTTGATGCAGTGATATTTAGAAAACTTTTTTAAAGAAATTCTGAAACTTCTGTGTCCCCAAAGCAAATCCTACTTAGTCAAATACTTTATTCTTTTAACACACTGTTGATAATTTCTTTAAAACACTTCTTTGGTTTTTAAGTGGGGATTCCTTCTTCAAATTATGCTGGCTTGATAATAGGATTTCCTGGAACAGTTTAAATAACATTAGAGGTGTCTCCTCACTCACAATATGTATAAAATGTAGCTGAAATCCCTCTAATACTGGTAGCTTTTGTCCTTGGGTGGCCTTCTAGTCTCATTCGTCCCATAAAATTAAATGAAACAGAAATGTGAATTATACATAGAGTAGTTCCTTCCTGGATGGATGCCTAAAATCTCAGTACCAAACTCTGCATATACTGTATTTTTTACTATACATACATATCTATGATAAAGTCTAATTTATAAATCATGCAAGTAAGTGGTTAATACAAAAACTAATAGAAAACAATTATAATAATATTCTATATTAAAAGTTAAATGCAAATTCTTTATTTCTGGAATTTTCCATTTAATATTTTCTGAGCATTGTTGGCTGTGGGTGACTGAAACCTTGGGAAATGAAATTGCACATGAGGGGAACTAATGTTATGAGAATCTAATATGATGGCATTAACTCATTGTTGGGGGACATGCAAAATTTCCAAGTCTGATTTAATGTTATTTAACCTGGTATGAAAATTAAATTAAAAACCAGTGATTTGCTACTTTAACTGCCTTGGGGAATCAAATGGAAAAAAAGAGTTACAGAAAAAGAAAAGGTAAAATAGAAATATGGCTTAAAGGAAATGCTTTCCATGTAACAAACTGCCTTTTACATTGAGTCCCTGGAATGATCATGACCAGAAAAATATTGATAAATATGACATTACTGGCAAGCTTGGAATTGGACTAGTATGGATTAGAGAATAGTATTGTATCCATGTTAAAATTTTCTAATTTAATCGTTACACTATGGTTAGACAAGAAAAGATCTTAGCAACCATACACTAAAGTATTAAGCAGTAAAGGGTCATTGTATCTGTAACACACTCTTACCTGGTTCAGAAACAAGTGTGCATATATGTGTGTGTGTGCGCACATGTGTGTGTTAATGCACATAGTGCATGAAAGTATATAGAGAGAATAGGGACAAAATGCTAATAATTGATGACTATAAGTAAAAGATGTATAGGAGTCCTTCGTACTCTTTTTTGCAACATTTCTCTAAATTTCAACTGATTTCATATACGAGCTACCGAAACAACTTCCATGAGGTAACCTCCCACTATGGTCTAGATATGGTTTGAGTATGTCCCTTAATGATTCACATGCTGGGAGCATGGTTCCCAGTGTGGTGGTGCTGAAGTATGGAACCTTTAAGAGGCAAGGCTCAGTATGAGGTGACTGGATTGGGGTCGTCACCCTCCAAAGTGATTCACGTAGATAACGTAGTTCTCACAGCGTAACTAGTTCTCGTAGATAATTTAGTTCTCCTAACAGTTGATTGTTACATAAAGTCAGTCTACCCTATACATCTGTTCTCTCTCACACAGTTGTTTTTCTTTCTGCTTCCTTTCTCCTGTACTGGGATGCAGTCAAGGCAACTCTCACCAGAAATGAACAAATACAGCTGCCCAATCTGGCTTTCATCCTCCTACACTGTAAGCTAACTAAACCTCTTATTTTTAATAAAGTGTTTCAACTTAAGTATTCTGTTGTAACAACACAAAACAAACTATATACCTCCTCGTTCTCATGATGTTTGACTCTTCCAACTTTGGAGACTTGAGGCCACTTCACAGGCTCTTGACCATTCCAATCATAAATGTCTTCCTTAACAGCATTATCTGACTCTAAGAGTTCAAGGAGCTAACAAAAAAACCTAGCCCTCTTGCTTTGACATGAAAATAAGGCTAAACTCCATCCATTCTACAGGCAGGTGACATGTATTCCAGTCCTGTCTTTAGTTCTAAAGCAGTCTCCTAGAGCTCAGTGTCCTACTTCTAAAACAGGTATGTGGCATGTGTTTGTATAATGTGACAACTCTACAACCTTGGTCCTTTCCAGTGCTAAATCATTATGAAGCAATCAGCATCTTTTCCCAAAATAGTTGCATGAGTTTAACCTATTCAAAGTAATTACAAGTCCTGCAAATTTTGTGCCCAATAACACATACAGGGTAAGCCCTGAAATCCCTGTCTGTGGGGTAGATGGCCAAAGGGACTTTTCTAGCACACCGGCTGAACCCTGCACTCACCACCAGCCATCTTTGTCTTTCAGGTCATCAGCACAAATCTGTAGTGCACTTTGCAGCAAGTAACACAGTTACTAACTGATCATATAGTTCAAGGTCAAGATCTGAGTCCAGCCTCTAGCATTGGAGTCAACACAACCGATCCTCTTTATATGTAAGCTACACAGGAACAAAGCATGACATGCATTTCAGCACTAAGCACAGAACTAAACATAGAAGCTACTCAGAAAAGGCGACTGAATTCATGGATGATGTGAATATCAATATATATACAAGCTATAAATATTTACAATAGCACCAGCGATGTTATCACATCTGGTAACTTCCATCTGCATACATTTATGAGGGCTGTTTAAAAGGTAATCTCCCACAGATCACAATCAGGGTTAGGATACAAAGCAAGGGAGAGAGGTGGGAAAAGTTTCTGGGTTATCTAAAGCACTCACCTACAAGCACCTTACTTTTTTCTGCCAGTAAAACAAAAATGAAAATACTGGGCAGCTACTGAACCATTGCAGTTTAAAGTTTATATGTACTTGTAGCTTTTGAATTCATCACAGTCAAATAATGAAAAAGAAAACTTTAAAATCATAAAAAACAGTAAAGAAGCTCGTCACCATTCTTCATGGATACTGAAAATCAAAACTCATAGTCTGAACACTAACTGTAGGGGAAAGCATTCTTCCATTAAGGATGGATACTCTTAAGAACAAAAAAAGACACTAGAGCATATATTGTATATTCATATCTATATTTAAGAATCCAGAAATAAAATTATGAAGTAGAGTAAGTGTAGATGTAGCTCAGAAAATTGAACTGTACCTAAAAGCATGAAATTGTTGTGTAGGCATTTAGTGAGGGGGTAACAAGGGTCTATTACCAAGATATATGGGTTAATAATTTCATGGGGTTATTCAAGAAAGATGTGCTGTGATTGAAACCATGTGTGGAGAGCTGGGCTTCTACAGGATGTGTTGCAGCAACAAAGGCCCTAAAGATGTATTTGTGCTGCCACTAAGTACACAGATGATGGAGTTAGATACACTTTGCAGACATAAACAGTGAAGGAATGTCCCGAAGTTCTGTATGCTATCAGAAAGATGGAGAATGCTTACCACATTGTACAAGCCGATGCACCAACGTTCAAATAAAATCTGCCCAGAAAATCCATTAACAAAGGCGAACCAAAGCTGAAAGAGAAGAAAGTTCATGAAGTTTTATATCAATATTGACCTAAATGTTTCCATTCACTGAAGAAATAGCAGGGAGCATGGACCACCAGCTGGACACAGCTGCTGAGGAATCATAAGCCCGAGGACCGGAGAGGTTTCTGTTTTATAGAATATAAATTCTCAGTATCACAAATATCAATATTTTATTGAAAAGTTTTATTTAAGACATTTCATTTTTAAGAGGTAATATGCACATGCATACAGAAAAATCATTTAATTTTTATCTAATATGTTTTATGTCATCAGTTTCTCACTGACAGGAAGAGTCTCAACTTCATGATCCTTCTTTCCTATGACGTTGATACGATATATAGGACTTGTTTTTGTAGAACTTTCAAGTACATAAATATCATAAATACAAAACAACAGAAACTTCTATGTTGATTATGCATGTTTTTAGTTCATGAAATACTGACCCTTTTTATTGGATGTCTACTGCCTCTGCAAATGTCAAAATACAATAATATAAGAAAAACACACTCAAGCCATCTTTTGGAGTAACATAGGATATATAAATAAATAAAATGTTAGACTATTATTCATGTTTGCAAATAGTCTATAATTCTAATTGACTAGAATGACAAGTCTGACATTAAAAAGAACTGCACAGCAAACTGCCAAGAATATAATTAGTGTCACATGATAAGGAAATAACTTTAGAGAAGGAAAGATTACTCAGTTATGATTAGGAGAAGAGACAGAGGCAGTAAGAGTGTAGTGGAAGAAGGGTTAGCCATCAGAAATGTGGACAGAAACCAGACTCAGAAAAATGCAAATACGGACATATGAAATGTAAAATACTACTCATTTAAAATTAAGCTAAATTTATACAATACAACAGGATTCTGGTGATTTGGGATAGACTTTTAAATATCTCCAACAAATCACAGAATCTACTTTAGTGAGTAAGACCATGACACTAAATCCATTACTATGGTAGAACCTAACTGGCAACAGAGAACAATTGCACTACAATAACCCACATAGGAATCAACTCTAGCATCAAAATTTTACTTAGTTGGGTTTTTTCAAAATCAGCTCCTTAGTTCCTCCAGACCAAACTTTCTTCAGATAGGAAATGTACCATGCAGGGCTCCGTACACAATGATACCTAATGTAGGATACTTAGTACGGAGACTTACCAGGCCCTAGTAAGGTAAAATTAAATCCCTCAACACAATTGCTAGAAGTTTTCCTTAAACACAGTTATAATTGCATCATTCTGCAGTTTAAAGGATGACTAGAACACCTTCCTAAATTCAGATTAAGCCTGCTGATTTATAAAAATCCTATTTACTTTTAATTTCAACATTCATATGGAGAAGTCTCCAAGAAGCTTGGTGAAGAAATAATGGAGGACAACTAATAACCAAAGTTTCACGCCATGTTCTGCACTCAGAACGTTCTTATGACATCTATGCAAATATTAGACTTTTCCAAACCCACCTTTTTATTCATTGCCTCCTTTCCATCCGAGACCTCAACAATCAGTACCCCAAATAAACTTTTAATGCAGTGAGAAGTTGGATCCACATCTAATTCAAACATATCTGTAAACTGTTTCAAGGGGTTCATCATGATTTTCTCACATATGTGTTGCACTTCTGTATTCCCCCTTTTCAACAATTAAGCTAACACTGGTAGATATCTAGTAAACATTTGCACTTTTCTGTTTAATCCAAGCAATTTGTCTCATTGAAGATGGCACAGTAGTGGTATTTCTAGGGCCTTCTTATCTTTCTCATCAATTAAAAATAAATAAATAAGAAAAATAATTTAAAGTGGAAAAGACAGCCCATTTTCAATAACACGTGAGATAGCCTTAACTGAAATTGTATATAATATAGAATAGATGCTGATAAATATAAGATTAGATCAAATCAAGACAGAATTTCAACAGAGGACATAGTCTATAGTTTAAGACAGCAAAAAAATTTTCCAACAAACAAAAAATCAGATGAAACAACTCCTAGTTAGAGGATAAAATAAAGAGGTAAGGAAAATAGTGACTGAGGTCCTTGGATGGATTCAATTCAGAAGGAATATTTTGAATATAAGGCAATATATATTCATATGTCTCTCTTTTTAAAAAAAGAATCAAGCAGGGAGAAGAGACACAGTGAAAGTATAAATGGTAATCAAGTTTATCCTCCTTTATGGCAGAGTAGTACTCCATTGTAAAAAAAAAAACCCACACATCTTCTTTATCCTTTTATTGGCTGATGGGCATTTGGGCTGTTTCAAAGATTTAGCTATTCCAAACTGTGCTGCTAAAAACATGGGTGTTCATATATCACTGTGCTATGATCCTTTTTTTTTTTTTGGTACCAGGGATAGAACTCGGGCCCTTGAGCTTGTGAGGCAGGTGCTGGAACCACTGAGCTAAATCCCTGGCCTTGATTCTTTTAATTCTACTGGGAAGATACCAAGAAGGGGAATAGATGAGTCAAATGGGACCTCCAGTTTTAGTTTTTTGAGGAATCCCATACTGATTTCCACAGTGGTGTTACCAGATTATACTCTAAAAAACAGTGGAGAAGGGCTCCTTTTTTCCACAGAGGCCCACCAACATTTTTTTTCATCAACTTGATTAGTAATTTTTACCTATACAATACAGTTACATTCATCATTGGGATCTTGTACCTTTACATGATGTATCATGGTTCTTATTTTTTTCCCTATTCCCCTGCCCTCCCTTCAACCTCTCCACCCTTCCCTATTGCTTCCATTTTTCCTTTTCTCATACTTTTCCCTTTCCTTTCTCTCCTTTCCCCTACCCTTCCCACTTACCTACTCTTTTAGACCTTTTCTTCCTATTTCACATTATCAATTATACAATTTGAACCTTATTTATACTTTTAGTTTTTCACACCAGAGAAACTATGTAGTATTTACATGTGTTGTATTTATTTCACTTAAGAGTACGGCCTCAACATGCATCCATTTAGATATAAATGTCTCTAGTTTCTCATTCTTTATGGCTTAGTAGTATTCCATTTTATTTAAAAAAAACCACACACACACACACACACACACATCTTCTTTATCCAGTCTCCAGTTGATGGGCAATTGGGCTGTTTCCAAATTTTAGCTATTACAAATTGTGCTGCTATAAACACAGTTGCACATATATCTCTGTGTTATGATTCTTTTAATTATTTTGGGAAGATATCCAATAGAGGAATAGCTGGGTCAAATGGGCCTTTTAATCCTAGTTATTTGAGGTATTTCCATATTGATTTCTACAGTGGTTGCACCAGTCTGCACTCCCATCAACAATGAAGAAGGGTTCTTTTCTTCACACAACCCCGCCAGCATTTGTTATTGGTTGATTTCTTGATAGCAGCTATTTTTACTGGGGTGAGGTGGAATCTCAGTGTTGTTTTCATCTGCATCTCTCAAATGACCAGGGTTGTGGAACATTTTTTCATATATTTGTTTGCTGCTTTTACTTGTTTTTCTGAGAAATGTCTGTTCATTTCAGATGCCCATGTTTGAACTGGGTCTTTATATTTGGAGGGTCTGAGTTTTTTGAGTTCTTTATATATTCCAGATAGTAGACCTTTGTCTGAGGAACAGCTGATAAAATTTTTTTTCACGTTGTAGGTTGTGTCTTAGCTCTGTTGCAGTTTAGAAGCTTTTTAATATGAGATCCCAGTTGTTGATTCTTTGTGCTACTTCCCAAGCTACTGAGGATTTGTTTATAAAGTCTTTTCCTATGCCAATATCTTCAAGAGTTCTACCTAACTTATATTCCAGCAAGTTTAGTGTTTCTTTTTTAATATTTAGATCTTTAATCCACTTGGATTTTAATTTAGTGCACGGTGAAAGATAGGTGTCTAATTTTAATCTTTGGCAGTTTTTTCAATGCCACTTATTGAAGAGGCTATCGATCTTTCCTCCAGTGATGAGGTAGATGAGTATGTCTGGTGTTCTTTCTGCATGTTCTAATTTATTCCACCGATCCTCAGGTCTGTTTCTTTGCCAGTACCATGATGTTTTATCACAGTGGCTGTGTAGTATAGTTTCAAGTTGGGCATTGTGGTACCCCCTGCCATATCTCTGTTTCCTAGAATTGTTGTGCAAAAGCATAAGATGAAATCCCAATTGTTGATTCTGTGCAATATTTCCTGTGTGGCCAGTGTTTTTTATTTTAATAAAGTCTTCATCCACACTATGTCTTCAAAAGTTCTACGTAATCTATCTTCCAGCAGATTTAGTATTTCTCTTTTAATATTTAGATATTCGATCCATTTTAACTTTAGTTTAGTACATGGTGAGAGATATAGGTCTAGGTTTAGTCTTTAGCATGTGGAAAGTCAGTTTTTTTCAGTATTATTTATTAAAGAGACTATTTTTTTTTCCAGTGAAGGTGTTTGGCTCCTTTGTCAAAGATAAAGCGGCTCAGTGTGTTTGAAGTTGTTTCTACATCTTCTAATCTGTCCCACTGATCCTTGGATTTGTGGTTTTTCTTTTTCCAGTCTCATATTGTTTTTAATCACTATAGCTTTATAGTATAATTCAAGCAGTGATTGTGATGCCCCTCCCATGCTATTCTAGGTCTCTTCTTGTTCCAAATTAATTTTAGGATTGTTTTTTATAATTCTGTGAGGTATGCTCCTGGAATTTTGTTTGGGATTGCATTAAATCTGTGTAACAATTTTGGGAGTATAACCATTTTTACTGTATTGGTTCTTCTTACCCAAGAACAAAGGGTATCTTTTCATTTTCTGATATCTTCCTTGATCTTTTTTAAGAGTACCTTAGTTTTCAAAGTAAAGTTCTTTTACTTTTTTTCTTAGATTGATTCCTAAGTATTTTATTTTTTTAGGTACTACTGTAAAAGGTGTGGTTTCCCTAATTTCTGTCTCAGTGAACTTGATATTTATGTATGGAAGTGCTATTGATTTTTGAGAGTTAATTTTGTATCCAGCTATTCAGTTGAATTTGGTTAGTAA